GGAAGTGCAACTTACTTAAGTAGTGAAGAATCAAATGAGAATATTATTCCTCATTATTATAAGGGGCATTTGGGGGTATCATTTTATTTTTTCTATATAAAAGCATTATTTTCATCTAAAGAACTGAAGAAAAGTTAAATGGTTTAGTCGGGCTTGTTCACACAGCGAATCTGGGCCATCTGCTGTTACTGTTTCCTGCACATCAGGGTGAAGATGAGAAAAGTCATCATGAGAGAGCTTCTGCCCAAGCTCTCCCAATGGTTAAAGCACTGCTTGCAAGCTTACCATCCACAGGGAGATTTTCCAACAGGTCTGTGTATTCCTGCTGTGTGAGCTCTACTCCCATGTCTTCTAGAATATTCTTTACTTCTTTGATATTTTCTTCATTTCCTTAAAAGAAGAAGAAAAGTGACAAATTTGCATGTTACTCTGAGACTAGATCATTATTTGTGGGGCCAGAAAGATGGATGAGTAGTAGCTACTCTTCCAGAGAACCTGGGTTTGACGCCCAGTACCCACATGGTGAATCTCAACAGTCTTTAACACCAGTACAGAGTATTTGGTGCCCTCTTCTGAATACCTTGGACACCATGCGTGCATGTGGTGCCCAGACATATGTGCAAGCAAAACACCCATTCATATAAAAAAGAATAAGTAAATAAATAAAGTTTTTTGTATCAGAAGCCATGGCATGTGCCTCTAATTCCATCACTCAGGAGGTAGAGCCAAGAGGATCAAAAGTTCAAGCTTAGCATGGTTGATATAGTTTGAGGTCAGCCTGTGCGATAAAGGGAGATCCTGTTTTAAAAAGTAAAATGAGGGGCTGGAAAAATGGATCAGTGGTTAAGAGCACTGACTGCTCTTCCAGAGAACCTGGGTTCAATTCTCGGCACCCACAAGACAGCTCACAACTGTCTGTAACTCCAGTTTCAGGGAATCCAGTTCCCTCACACAAATATACATGCAGGCAAAATATCAAAATGCATAAAATAAAAGGAATAAATCATTAAAAAAAACTAAAGTAAAAAATGAATGAACAATTGTGACAACTCAGTGCTAACCTCAATTGCTAAATGAACAAAGCACAGGCTCCACCTAACTACTTCTAATGTTGTTAAAAAGACTTCTTTTGTTTTAGTAAATTAGGTGCTTTCAAACAGACATCAAATTATAGCACACAATAAAACATTTATTAAAGAATTCATTTTATATTTTATCCATTTGGACAACTGATTGTAAAGTCAGTTGTTAAATGACTTTGTTATTCAAAGTATGTTTTTTTTAAACCAAACACTACCTCATAATTTATAATTGTGTATTTTTTAAGAATGGAGAACTAAAGTTATATTAATTTTTAAAAATATAGAGGAAAGAGATCTTTCAGTTAACAAGGAACAGGTAAAGGATTCCCCTTCAGATATGAACAATTCAGAGTGATAACTGTGGCTAGCTAGATATAAGCAAGAGCAAGAGAGGACTCGGGACAGCAAGAGTCTGACCCGTGATGAGCGGGGCGGTTGTGGGTTTATAGCAAACCATGTCTCACCTGTGAGTGTCTTCACCTCATCCATCAGGTCCTGGAAATTAACTGTACCGTTGTCTGTAAGGACAGAAATTAGGACACATGCGTTACCAAAGAGAAAAATATGTTAACAAAATTTACTTGACCCAAGCAAATTCTCCCTGTTTTGCTCTGAAAACTCATCCTTTAATTTGAATGATTAGCTCTTAGGAAGCCATGACATACTAGTCCCTATTTCTTAACTAGGAGGTGATCTTAAGAATGTCAACTTTGTAACAATTTGTTTGATGTGGTTTTCTACTTATGTTTATGTTCTACAATTAAAATACTAAGAAGAATACATGGACTAAAATGCCAATAAAAGAAAAATACTCTTAGGGAAAATTTAGTCCATGAGGTTTACAAAAAGTGTGAAGATTCAGGTAGGACGATAAATGGTGAACCAGGTACATGCTAAACACTGTGCTGTGCGTAAGACCCATACAAGCTCTGAACCAGACCAAACCCACTGAGGCAACTTGAAGGCTGGAGTGTTACAAGATATAAAAAGGACATTTGCTGATAAAATGATTATTTAAATGGAAAGACAACCAGCCTGAATTTGTATGTACTTAATACAGTTTCATATCTGTAAAGCAAAAATTGATAAAAATTACAGCTTTAGACTAACCCATAGTCTTATGCTTGCTAGCTGTTCTCAGTCCATTTCTGCCAGATGATTGTAACCCTGCTTTGATGATGCTACTTTCTGCTCATTTGTTCTTTCACTTGGGAGCCTCACAGAAAGGAATGCTCCTCACTCCCTGAAACTGTTTTTATTGGGGTCTCCAGCGGACTTCTGTAACAGGGCTTCGACAGTTGGTTTCTGCTGGATGCTTTGAGCACCTTATTTGATGTCTGTCTCTCTGTCTGTCTCTTACTTTAGACTGTAATACACTTGTTAAATTCTAATAATTTGATCCCAAACTGAAATTTTCATTTGTAAATTAAAAATAAAAACCTTTAGAAAGTTCAGCGAGGTACAAAAGAAAAGTTCAGTGAACTAGTTTGCAAGTGATGCCCTGCGCTGGCGGAGGAGTTAACTACTGCTCACCGCTATCCGGTAGGTTTTCTTTCAGACGGGCAAGCTCCTTTTCTGTAAGTTTGATCCCCATGCCTTCTAGAACAGTGTCTATTTTGCTTTTTTTAACTTTTCCTCCTTAGAAAAAGAAATATAAAGAATGAGAAAATACAGTAAACTAATAGAAGTTTTTAGTATTAGAAATATGTTAGCTGCGTTATATTAAAATACAAAGAAGGCATAATACATTTCTAGATACTAATATTGCTTTTAAATATGAATGAATATCTTTAGAATTCTGTACTAAATGATTTTAAACTGGAAAAACTCCAAGTTTAACAGAAGAAAATTAATGAAATGCACAGCAAAGGGACTTAGAAACAAGTAGCAATTGTTTCCACAGATACTTTGAGATTTCAAGAGACCTGGTTTATCCACGCTTGAAGATAGTATTTGAGTATGTAATATTAAAAATAGGAAAAACTTCTATTAGTTTAAAAATACATCTCTCTATATATAAACTACCTGAGATGATATCAGAGAGGACCTAAAGAGACTGGTTCTAAAGCTGAGCATGGACTGGGGATGGTAGTGTGTGGAGAGGAAAAGCAGGGCCAAAAGATTAGAGAAGCTAGAAGGTCACATGGGACCCCTGGGACAAGAGCGCTACCAGTGAGGGCGAACAGTGAGGCTCCTGGCAACCACTGCTTCATTTTTTAATGGCGACATTCAATTTACTTAATGATAACATTTTCAAATTATAAAATGTGAGGCATACTAAATTCTTCAAGGATATTTTGAAGAATCTTCCAAAAGGCCTGGGAATGCCAGGAAACCTCCTTCCTATAACTGGAGTGTTCCTCTCAGCAGGTGTCAAATGCAGTGCTCCAAGTTCTTTACCCCAAGTCCCTCCTTTTTCTGAAGTAATCAGTGGGAAATTTGGAGGGGGAAACCCCTTAGTTATAACCTTATGTGTTTCTCTACAGTTTTTCTTAGCTAGATGTCACTATAACATGTTCTAGTTAAACAAATAAGGAAACAATGGACTTTGTTTTACCAGGCTCATCAGGTAAGGCACTTGCCACTAAGCCTCATGACTTGAATTTCACCCTCTAGGACCCCTACATGGCAGAAGGAGAGCTCCAACTCCCACAGGTTGTTTTCTCACCTCCTCATGTACACCACGCACATTCTCAACATAACTAAGCTCCTTTAGAAGGAAAATAATGCTTAATATTTCTAATGCGGGTGTGATTAATCTGGGTCACCCGTACTTCTCTAGCTAATTCCAGTCATTCTTGTCATGTTTTATATATCTATCTAGAATTCAAACGACAATTTTGACAGTTTATTTTGAAAAATATAAGAGATTGCGGGACTGTTTACAAAGAGATAAGTCATTATAGAGGAAAAAACATTTATAATAAAGAAGGTACATTCAGAAACTATGGTATGATAAGTCTAAAAACAACTTAAACATCAATTCTCAAGCTTCTTGTTTCTCACCTTTGAAAGACTTTACCCCATTCAATAATCTGTTTTTATAGATCTTCCCAGATTCTATAATTAAAAACATCAAATGTCAAGTAAAACGTGATACAGATGCTCATAAAAATATACATTTCTGCCGGGCGGTAGTGTCTCAAGCCTTTAATCCCAGCACTCAGGAGGCAGAGGCAGGTGGATCTCTGTGAGTTCAAGGCCAGCCTGTTCTTCAAAAGCTAGTTCCAGGGAAGGCTACAAAGCTACAGAGAAACCCTGTCTCAAAAAAATAAAAAAAAATACATTTCTTTCTTTCTCCTTATTCTAGCCATTTTTATTAGCTTTTTTTCTAGGTGTGATCACTGTAGCATAGGCTGCCCTTGAACTCACACTTCCTGAGTTCTGGTGTTAGAGGTCTGTGCAAACACACTCAGCTACACACACTTCTCACTTTCAGGAGGAATTTTTATTATTTATTGAACAAGTGTATTTTTACGCCCCAATAAAACCTGAAGAATGTAGAAATGAGAACAATCAGTCCGACAGACTATGCAATTTAAACACTTCATATAATTTATTTATTTTAGAATTCTATACATGAATACAATGTATTTTTATCACGGCCACCTGCCTTGAACTCCTTTCTGTGCCCTTTTCTTAAATTTATGTCATCTTCCTCTACAACTACTATTGCCATAGATATTGCTTTCTATATCCTACTGAGTCTCATCGGTGCTCCCAAGTATGTGTGGACACACAGTTACCACTTCAAGATGGGCAAGCTATCTGCAGGCTTGACCTTGGACAAAACTGATCCTCCCAGCCTCAGCAGCCTTTGACCCCGTAGCTCATAAACTCTCTGCAGAATAGCCGTCTGCACCTGAGAAGACTTTAATAGGCTCAACTACACTGATGCTCACTTTTAACTTTCATTTTGCTTCTTTCGCCCAATTCTAAAAATTGCTTATTTCAGCAGCTTCTTTTCTCCTGAGGCCAGCATTGCACCTGGCTAGAGGGGTTGACAGTGCAATGCCTGCTAACGTCTGACATCCTGGATTAGGAGTGAGAGGGTCTTTCTATGCACAGCATAAACTTTATTTATAAAATGTTTAAAATACTATGTATCAGAAGAGGAACTTCCCCCAGCCCTTCAAAATTAAGCTCCCGTCTTCACGACTTACCGTCCACAGGAAGCTCTCTTATCAGCTTCATTTGTTCCTTGTCTGTCAGCTCAAGGCCCATTTTGCTCATCATAGCAGGAAGAAATCTCACGTCAACCTTTGGTCCTTTGAAAAGTATGAAATATTGTCATCCAAAACTATACAATAATTATTTCAAGAAGCAATATAAATGCTAAAGAAGGGTTTTTATATGAAGAAAAATTAAAAACAGTAATATATATATACACAGAATCAAGAGGGATCACGTGTCATATTTAATGGCTTACATAGAAATGTTGGTACATATTTTATGATCTGAGGATGAGTCAAAAGAGAAGGGAATAAATCATATCTGAATGACTCCAATTAATTAAGATATCAGAATCAGTTCATTTATTCATCTTAACCAGAAAGTACGATATATTGTCTTTCTTTCTGTTTTTTGATAAATTATGTTTTTTGCTTCTGACATAGATAATAGCATTGTCTTTTATGGTTATTACTTGATATAGTTGGGTTTGGGTGTTTATAATAATGCTCCAGTAAATGATACTGCCAAAATAAATGCCCTAGAAAGCTTGGGAGCTAATGTTCTACACATTTAACCAGCATAAGAGCAAACTGTAGGACAAAAACACACACTTTATCAAGAAAATGTTAAAAACTAAATGAAAAAGATCAGGAATAGAATAGTAGAAAAATCTGTTTGAAATTATACCATTACATAGAGTCTGAGGGGTTTGTTAATACAAAACCTCTCACTCACCTGTAAATGCGCTTAATCTGTTGAACAATGTTTTCACTGCAATTTTTCCATGCACTATAAGAAGAAATTCAAGGAAAGAAATGCATTATCTGATGTAAAAACAGCAAGAGGAGAAGATTCTAGCAATACACTCGAGAATTTCTGCAGCTTTACCTTTTTCATGAGAATGAGACAGAATAAAGAAACAAGATGTTAAAAAACTAAGAATTTCAACAACACAACTGTCATTTAGCTCCTCTACCCAAACCCTTACCATTCAAGGGGTAAAACTCAGGGAAATTTATGCTAAATAACTGTTTTTTTTAAAAAAAAGATTTATTTATTATTTATACAGTATTCTGCCTTCATGCCAGAAGAGAGCTCCAGATCTCACTATAGATGGCTGTGAGCCACCATGTGGTTGCTGGGAACTGATCTCGGGGCCTCTGGAAGAGCAGCCAGTGCTCTTGACCTCTGATTTAGAGCTGTTTTACACTATACTTAACGATGTCTCAATTTGGAGTCTACTAACCATCCGCTCACGTCATAAATTCTCCATCAGTATTTACCTATTCTTCCGGGCAGCCTTGCTGATTCTTCTGAAGTGTGAGAGAGGTTTCTGGGTTTGAGAATTATACTTACTGTTCCATCAATGTCTGTACAATAACAAGTGATACTTCTGAGCAGAAAGTATTTAAGGTATCAGAACTAATGTCAGAATAATAATGGAGAGTGACCTTGAGGGAATGAGACAGAGAGAGACAGAGAAAGGAGGGAGGGACGGAGGAATAGAAGGAGAAAGCAAGAGAGAAAATTATGGCTAGTACTAAATAAAATGTCAATAGCAGCTCATTCCATGGCAGTAGTCTATGTCCTGTAAGAGGGACCTTAAATCTCCAACAGACATTTGGAAATGTTTCATAAATAGCGCACCAGCAATAATCAATACCCAGGAGGAATATCTACCATTGCTAAATTAGTCAGACTCAGCAAGACATGGGTGCATATTTATACAAGATAAATGTTAATAACTAAATAGACATAATTTCATTAAGATTTCTGATGAAGATGTTAATTTTGACTTGTTCTTATCTTGTAAAAGTAACTATGTGCCTACCCCATATGACCTAGGTAACCTAGAGTATACTTCTAGGTATATATCTATAGAAATTCTTGGGCATGTGCAACATGAGACATGCTTTAGGAAGGAATCATTGAAATGGTGAGAACTAGAAACAATGAAAATGTTCACTAAGAAGAAAAATTATAAACAGATTGTGGTATATGCATGAATTAAAATATTTCATAGCAAAAAGGAAGTATTACTTTTGTGGCATTTTTGGACATTTGGGGGAATTCAATATTGAGAAGGTAAGTTCCAGAAAATCTTTAAGATATTGTAAGATAACATTTAAATAAAACTTACAAACAGGTAAATATATTTTTATTTTGAAATATTGTTTAAGAACACACACATTTATCTGAAACAAGTGCTTTCAAAACAAGTAGACTATAAACAAAATTTAGCATAGCGGTTGACTGGCAAAGGCCTGAGATGGAAGAAGAGTCCATTTGAATGCAAGAATCATTGCTCATTTGTAGTGCTTAGGTTACATTAAGGAACCATGGCTTTTCATTTACAAATATTTCATAATGTGTATTCTATAAAGTATATTTTTACATTTCAAAACATCGTATTTAAAACTATGCATTCAGTATCCACTGCATTCAAATCGTGCATGGTTTCCTTATCATAGCTACCACCAATCAATGGTAGAACAGCTAGCCAGCACTTTGACGTGCATAGCCAAAATCAGTTGGCAAGAAATTTGAGTTATTTGAACAAAGTGAAAAAAATTCATTTAGATAAACCCAGAATTGTAATAATTTTTCAAGTTCGAATTTTTGCAATTTAAACATTTCCTACAATTGAAGATGTTGTAAGCATATCCATAAAGCACAATACTATCAGAAGTAAATGGGTACATTTATAGAAGTATATCTGAAAATAATGTATATCCTCCCTAAGGGCACAGTCATCAGTGCAATAATAAAATGGCATGGCCTGGGATCAAAATGAGTACTTTGAGCCAAGAATCTCCCGGGTTCATATTCACCCATCTTATTCATTTGTAGTAGAATTCCTCTGGGGTTTGATGCATGTAGCTGTCATCACCATCCCAGGCAGAGGCAGCTGGAACCCAAGGAGACAAAGCTTAGACCAGGATGGGTAGCTCAGAACAGAGGAGTGTGCCAGCAATACTGATGTGACTCCTCCAAGGTCTTTGCCTTGTGCTAGCTGCCTGGTTTGCTCAATCTATCATTTTCTCCTATTCCTGGCTTGCTTTGTTTTCTCGGAATGTCTAGATTAAGTGGGATTAGCGATTGTGGAAATGATCATTTCAGTGGGAGGCCTGGGGAGCTTAAATCACTCCTGCCCTTGGCATCCATTTGCTGTCTTCTGCGCAGTTCATCAGCGTGTTAATCGTACTGTCACCCCCTCTAGCTCTTCTTATCCCAGTAGAACACTTGAATAAATTCAGTTTACCACTCAAGGGACAAGAACTGCATCGTGACAAAAACATGAGGTCGTCACTTTCTTTTATATTTAAAAAATCCCAGCTGTGTCCGATGAACATTTAGGGATTGACTGCCTGATGCACGCACACCAATTCCGGACTTTCTGACTCACTTAACAATCTCTTAAATGCTCACCGTCAGCAGGCATGCTTTGCTTCAGATCCCTAATCTCTTCATTTGTGAGCTTGCACCCCATATTTTTCAAAATTTTGTCGATTTTATTGATGCTAATAGTCCCACCTAGGAAAATTGAGAGGAATTAGTCAAATCTGATGGATTTTAATTCCAAAGCTCTTCATTTCAATTAAGGTTACCAGTTTTAGTGAAACCATTTAGGCCACCAAAGGGCCAATAATGAGCTTCCAAATGAAATATATTTCCTCAGTTTAAACTGTGGTGCTCTGTTTACAGAACTCCCAGGGAGACCATGAAGCCTCGTCAATTAAATACTGTCAAGGTGAACTTAAGTCAATGGCTTCCTTTCTTTTCTCTCCTCCTGGCAGTATGGACTGGACCCAGGGCCTTACTTGTAGGCAAGAGCTCTATCACTGAACTAGATATCTAGCCCCACTATTAATTTTCAAGCAGACTATCATCATTTGATTTGTACTAACAAGAAAATTTTATCTTTTCACTAATAAGTAGTTCTGTTGTGTTTATTTTATAAGATTATAAGGTTCATTATCTCAACTCCTATCCAAATTGTCCTAATAATTTCCCCCTTTGGCTCACATTCTTATACATCTTTTTTCCCCAACAAATAGGAATATAATTAAAAAAATAAAAACATGTCATCCGATGTAAAGATCCTTTGATAGCAAACACATTTACAAAGGAAGGCAAGAAGACATTACAGTGCAGGGGAGTCAATGGGTCTCTTCTGGTTTTTACTATGGTCTTTACTTACGATTAAGAGACTTCAATTCATCCATTATCCTGTTCTTGTGGACTTTTTTATTCTCTACAAGAAACATAAGTCAGATCAAACACAAATGAATCATGTGGGGGTCATGAAGGCAACAAAAATCATAAGTGATGGTAAAAGGAAATAGTGACTTGTGGGGAGTTGGTTTTCCCCTTCCACTATGTGGGGACCGAACACGGGTCATTAGGCTTGGCAGCAAGTGCCTCTACTCTCTGAACTGTCTTGTAGCCCTCCTCTTTCTTCTCCTGAGACAAGGTCTCTGAACTCGAAGCTTACCTCTGCCTGAGATCTGCCTGTCCCTACTCTCCCAGTGTTAAAACCACAGCACAGGCTGCCATGTCCTGCTTTTTATGTGAGTGCTAGAGATTCGAACCCAGGCTCTCATGCAAGCACACTGCCTTAGCTACTTCTCTACTGCTGTGATGAAACACTATGACCAAGGTAACTTATAAAGAATTTAATTTGGTGCTCCTAGCTCCAGAGGGTTAAAGTCTGTGACCATCATGGGAGGAGCATGCAGCGGGCAGGATAACAGGCATGGTGCTGAAGCCGTAACTAAGAGCTCACACCTTGAGACGCAGCCATGAAGGCAGAGAGAGCTAAATGGCAATGACAAGGGTTTCTGAAACCTCAAAGCTCACTCCTATTGACAACAAAGCCACACTCCCAGTTCTTCCCAAAAAGTTCTACCAACTGGGGACCAAGTATTCAAATATGAGTCTGTGAGGGCCATTTTCTTTTAAACCACCACAGAAGACAAGTATTTTATGTATCTCTTCAGTTCATGGATATTATTTTTAACATGAAGTTGAAGTTGGATTATTCATTTCTTTAAAATTATTGATATTTTTATCCTCTATAAGCTTACCAACTGTATTAATTTTATCATATACAATGATACTTTTAAAAATTGAGTCTTAAAAATAATTTTAAAATTTTTAAGTTATTTTTCGTGCATGGGTGTTTTGCCAGTGTGCACGCCTGTGCACCACCTGAGGCCAGAAGAGGTCAGATTCCCTGAAACTGGGGTTACAGATGGTCATGAGTTGGATATAGGTGTTGGGTATCAAACTTAGGTCCTCTGGAAGAGCAGCCAGTGCTCTTAACTGCTAAATCATCTCTCCAGTCCCAAAATTTACTTATGCTTTGTCTGAATGTATGTATGTGTACTTGATGACCAGGGTGGTCTGAAGAGGGCATTGCATCTCCTAATGCATGGTTGCAAGATGCCACGTGTGTGTCAGAAACCAAACTCAGAGCCTCTACAAGAGTAGTAACTGCTCTCAACCACTGAGCCTTGCTCCAGGCCCCTCTCATACCTTTTAACTTCTAAAGGTTATTTTTTTCTCCTCCGTCATTGTCAGCCTTCTAGTGCAATTATAACTCCCAAGTGTTTCATTTTAACAGGTCACTGTCATCTGTCTGTCTATCATCTATCTATCTATCTATCTATCTATCTATCTATCTATCTATCATCCATCCATCTATCAGCTATCTAATCTAATCTATCTATCTAATCTTATCTATCATCTATCCATTTATCTATCATCTATCTAATCTTATCTATCCATCCATTTACCTATAATTACATTAGCATGAGATAAATCATCTGAACAAAATGTGAAAGTATTAATGCATTCTAGAAAACCTTTCTAGACATTCTCAGAAGCACTAAAATAGACATTACGATCTAGACTGCATTCACATGTTAAAGCGCTTACCACTGACGGGGAGCTGCTCCAGCAGTGCTTTGTGTTCCTTGTCCGAGAGAGTTATTCCCATTTCCTTCAGAACATATCCCATATCAGTCATATCAACGTCTCCTCCTTCAACATCATAGAACCAGGCATACGTTAGTGCAGAGAACACTCTCCTACCTCCAAACACATGTGGAGGTCTCTTCAGTTACAATAGTCATATGTGTACAAATAAATATTCCACGTACTCACAATTCTCATTATTGGGACAAAAATATAGTTTTCATTCGATGTAATAATAGACATAAAGATGCAGTTTATAAAAGGTAAATTAGTATACTGTAGGTTAAAAAAATTCATTAATCTTAACAAAATCTTTTTTTTCTTCTAGTTTCCCAGCAAGAGAATTTTTATCTTTATGAAAATTTGCTTACAATTTTCTGAGCTAATTTAGATTTTGAAGTCAGTGATGGTGTACATATCACAATAAGTAGACCAGATGCAAAAGATTGTTCTTGCAGACACTAGTACTGAGAGAGTGATAAGATGCAAATGTTCTAAGCTACAGTTGCAGGAGTTCATCAACATGAAAAGGAGGAACAGAGTAGAAAAGCCATGCATAGTAACAGTACAGTCTAAGCATACAATGTGGTATAAAATTGACTGTAGATTTTTAGAGACTAACCTGTAATTGCGTCTACTACTTCCAGCACTTTGTCAAGATGGATCTTTCCATTGGCTGCAAGAAATATCACAATTAGTGCAAGAGATTAAAAATTAGAGATTGAAGCCTATCATGACATAATCTAAATGAATCAAAATTCCATGTACAATAAGAACAAGAATCTATTCTATGTTTGAGGGAGGACTGGCAAAGAAAATATTTTTTAAGATTTATGTTCACAGAAATGATAGAATAATAGACTAATGATTTTGGTTGGGGCTCTGGAAACCTATATTTCTAGTGCACTCTTTCTGGTAATTATGCTGAGTCGGCCAAATTTTCACCATCTTCTATGTGGGTGTGTGAGAGAGACAGAGAGATACAGAGGAGAGACACAGAACGGTTTTCTATGTGTAGCCCAGGCTGGTCTCAACTTTCAGTCTTTCTGATATAGCCTCTACATGCAACTACACATACCTGCTCGTTCTTCGCTACCTTTTATCTTTTGCTGTTATTTTAAATGATAACACGGGATGACTGATGACATGTATTAAAAACCTTTTGTTACTTATGCATTGATAGTCTGGACAACTGTTTCTACCATCTATGGGGAAAGGAATCAGTCTGCACCAGAGTCATGGACACACGGCACCATTTCACTGCCAAGAAAGACCACAATCTCTGGTGGAAGGGGCTATGAGGTCAGGGTGGTAAGACAGAGGTCTGAGGCTCAACAAGTTGTGGAATAGTTGACCCAGAGTATGTCCTGGGAAGAACCTACCCAAGGCAACTCTAAGCCCCAGCTTTCTTCTATTTTTTCACTAGACCCCAGTAGGAAACATGAATTCAATTATAAACTTGTGAACAGTTTCAGAATATCAAATGGCAGCCCATTAAATCTGAAACATGACATTCTTCTGAGCTTGAGTTTCTACTCACTTTTACTGACCATACACCAATAAGCTTGTTCTAAACTCTCATCATAAAAAACCTACATAAAAGACTCTCAATACAAACAAACTCTTTACTCAAAATACTCCGAAGGAAGGTTGAATGCATGAACTATAGATCCTGTTCCTTAGGCCTTCATAAAATTTCTAGACAAGCCTTTTAAGTACGTGATTAAATATATCACAATACTGTAGAAATCAGCAATCATAAACAAGATGCCCAGTCACAAGAGCTTAAGACACACACGGCTGGAATAGAGTAGTGACAAAGAAGTTGAGGTCTTCGAGAGAAGGGAAGGACCTGAAACTTCCACTCTTTAAATAAACTGCCCTCCTGCAGAATTTAGGATGTCCCAAGCAGGCAGCTCATGACACACTTCTTCAAGAATTAGCAGTCTTGGGTGGTGAGGTTGGGGAGATGATCCAGCCAGTAAATTCTTGTGGCACAAGGATGAGGACCCGAGTTCAGAACCCACTACCCATGTAAGAAGCCAAGCACGCTGTCTGAGCATAAAGTCCTGGAACTCAGGAGAAAGAGGCAGGAAGGTCTCTGGAGCTCCCTGGCTAGCCAGTCTAGCCCTAATTGGTCAGCTCTAGGCCAGTGAGAACCTGCATCTTGTAAAGTGGAGAAGTGATTAAGAAAGATCTGACATCAACTTTTGACCTGCACACACACACACACAGACACACACAGACACACACAGACACACACAGACACACAGACACACACACACACACACACACACACCACGTTAATTGGGAACAAAACAGTTACACAGTGCTTTTGGGAACATAGTTATCTCACTCAAGGAAGGTAATGAGAACATAGTCTTAATTAATTTGTACTAATTAGATGTAGTTATAGTTGTGATTTTTTTCTATAGATGTGCTGGTTGCTGAAATCACAGGATGTGCACATAGTTTAGGCAATTATTAATAAATTTCTATTCTTTGCGCTCAGAAATAGCAATTTGATTTGCTTTCACTATGTCTAGCCAGTTCACCTTTAGTTCATCTGTCAAGGTTTCCAGGCTTATTCTGCCTCCTCCTCTTCATTTCATCCTGGACTAGAGATTTTATTTAAACACAATACATGCTCTAATTTTAAACCATTTTAAAATAAAAATTCAATAAAATAAATAGGCGACCATTAGTCCATGGTTGTTTCAGAACTCAGAATTATCATACAAGTAAGCTGAAACCTAAAGATGCTCTATTTAACTGATAGATTTGGGATGAAAAGAAAATCAAACTTAAGCCAGCTATAAACAACTACAAGCCATTAGTCACGGGAATGGTACCAGACAAGGTGTAGTCTGTTTCTACAGTCAGACTGTAAATGCCTACATGACTATCCAGGACTGTTCTCTTTGGATGGGAGTGGCTGAGGCAGGAAGATGGTAAGTTCAAGGCCAGCCTGGAGTGCACATGACACTCACACTGGCATGCACTGCGGCACATGACATTCACACTGACATCTGCTCTGTCACACAACACTTACCTGTGAGTGGTAGATTTTCTGCCAGACTTTCCCGCTCTTTATCTGTGAGCTCAATGCCCAGACTTCCCAGGACAGTGTCTAGGTTATTGACTTTAACCATTCCTCCTGGGGAAAGAAATAAAATTATTTTGAAGAAAAGAGCTAATGGTTCCAAAATACGTATATATTCAGGCCTAAGATTTTAATCTTATATTTTAGTACAACAAAAAGTATAAATGTATCATTTATTTGTAGCAGTGAATGAACACTAAAAGTTAGCTCAGCAAATCAGCTACAATCAAGTCAAGAATGTATAGAGAAATAGTCTAAGCTTGAAGCATTGCTTGGGACTGTGTTACTGCTTCAGGTTATATAGATTTAATACTGAGCTGTGCAATGAAGCAAGGGCACATCAAGGATAGAGCTATCTCCATGGGGCACAGGAGGAACACCCTGGGTAAACCTTCCTCTGAAGAAGGTCACAGTGACACGTGATAGTGACAGCTCAAGATCCCAATTGTCAAGTTTGGCTTCATTGGTACAGCTGTAGATATAGTAAAAATTATAACCCCTTTCTCCACCTGATTATCACTGACAATACATTCATCATCACAAAAATCCACAAGGAACCTGCTAACTGACATTTTAGGAGGTCAGGCTGTGACCTGAAAGAGACTTCTTTCATCACATGCCAAGAAGCAAAACTCGACGACATTGTTCTTTCCTTCCTAGTCTCTGTGAGGAAGGAAACTCGACAGCATTGCTCTTTCCTTCCTAGTCTCTGTGAGGAAGGAAACTTGATGGCATTACTCTTTCCTTCCTAGTCTCTCTGAGGGAAGCAGCAAGAAGGCGGCTAAGCCACAATCACGCTTTTTTCCTCATTCCCTTTTAACTGGATTTAGGGGGAAATGATATATAAAAACATAATGAAGACTTTTTGATTAGTGAAATAAAATTAAATAAACAATCCTTCCAAATTGCTAGAGGGTGAATTCACAGAGGAAAAAAAAACGGTATTATTTTCTATATTACATTCTATGTGCAGTTATATTTTTGCATGATTATTTGAGGATGCAATTTTAAAAGGTTCAAGAATGGGCATCTTGTAATGATATACTATGAATGATTATATCAGAGTCTTGCATGTAGAAGATGGGAAATCTAAATATAGAGACATACACATAAACCGACTGTCATAAATGCACATGCTGGCTTTCCAGCAGATGTTTCTGCCAATTCCACTTCTCACAAACCTTTCATAGACTTCACTTCTTCCAACATTCTGTTATGATACACCATCCCAGCATCTATAAGAAAAATAAAGTGAAATGTATCTCCCACGGAAAAGCAAGTCACACAGTTACTGTGCAACTGGCTAGTTCCAGTAAGTAAACTTTTAAAGCTTTTTAAAGAGAAATCTTCCCTAATGTCCTATGAAATAAACGTAATTTTTTAAAAAGTAAATTCTCTTAGTGACAGAAACATAGATGGTGAGAAAACTGATGGAGAGATATGCAGATACCATCTCCATTTCCTCCTTTCCGCTCCTGCTCTCTTCTTGCCTTTATGTGACCTGGTCACTCACTCCCCTTTGTTCTCTCTCTTGTGGATTTAGAGCCCAGTCACCTGAGTGGGTCATACTTCAGCAATTAATCAATTCTGACGGCAGAATTATTGAAAAGCTTGCCGAGTCTCCGATTAAAGCTCTATGACAGGGGATACATTTTTCCCATTCATTTTCAGCACTTCTTAGAGGAAATAATGGAAGAGATGAGTTTAGCAAACTATGCCAAGACTCCCAGGCATCCAGTCCCTTGAAAAGGCGTTTGTGTGGCTCACCATCCTTGGGAAGGGCTTGAAATAACATCTCCTCTTCTCTCTCGGTGAGTTCAATCCCCATGTCTCTCAAAAGTGTTGGTAGATCATTGACATCAACCTTTTTTCCTTTTGAGAAATAATAACATTAACCTCTGGCCATCTGGAGAATAATTTAATTATGTCTGATCATAGGAAACTCATCTGTTCTACCTCATCTTAAAATTCAAGCAGTACACTGGAAAAATCACCTTCAACTACAGAGACTCATGAGGGGAACCACAGACAGGGTAGCGTTCCTTAATTTATTATAAAAGGAATATTCTCTTAGTGATGAGTTTGTGTGTGGCTAATCCAGCTGAGCAGTACTTTTGGTTAAGAGTTCTTAGCAAATTAGAATGAGAGATTTATAATTCTGGAAGGAGAAATTAATAGGGTGATTTTAGTTAAGTGAGCATTGTCTGCACAGCGGCACTGTTATTTCCTATGGACATCAAGACAAGGGTTATTTGAATCCTGGTGAAGTAAATATTATTGATTTATGAAAAGTAGGTCTTTCAATCTTCTTTACAAAAATAAAACATTTAAATTTTATTATAAAGTCTAAGACAAAGCTCCAAATAAGATTTTTTAGAGAACCTATTAGTTGAAACAGTCATAGGACAAAAATATACCAACTGCATAACTTGAGCAATTATTTTAAACATTAATATACATCAGAGTGGGTACTCACCAGTATAAGCTTTCAGCAAATTCAGCAACATTCTCAACTCAACCTTCTCAGTCTCTGGTAAGAGAACACACACATCCAATATAAGTGTACATATTGATACTCAATAAAGTAAGAAATAGGTAAAATGTAATATTTGTAGACTCTATTATTTTATCCAATGATTTCTGTCTTGTGAGCTAGAAATCTAAATCATGCTTACCAGAGCACAATCTATTTTGAGATAGGAAATTTATCTTGCAACTGTCAAGGGTAAATGACAATATTAAATTACCTTCTCCCATAGAGTCTGCTTGATGGCTATGCCCCAGAAAACTGTTAATTCTGTAAACTCTGCCAACGTCAAGAGCAGGCGTCATGATTTACAAGTTGAATGTGCTATAATAATAATGTTTCAATATGGATTTAAAACTGATATCCTTAAGTAATGAGTTGATATTTTTGGGCTCCAGTTTGTTACTCTTTTGTTATTTAGAAATAAATAATCACGCCAAGGAATAACATATTTCATAAAGTAGAAGCTCAGTATTTATTTGTAAAACCAATTTAGAAAGAATTGCAATGAAAGCATGATGCACATTTAGAATTTGCTTGGAAACTTAGGCAGCTTAGAATCTCAGATGTTTCTTCCTTCATTGCCAAAAAAACAAAAAACAAAAAACAAAAAAAAACCTATGAAGTGCTCTCTGCAAAATAATTTTCTGCTTTTCTATTGTGAATAAAAATATTTAAGCCCATGTTTATGTAATTTAGAAACTGATAATTGAGATCATTAACTCAAACACGCCCCTAATAATGTGAGATTTTATTAATCATCCTATTGACAACTGAAAGTGATCAGAACAGAGTATCAGTTGTCCACAGTGTCACTAAAGCTCCTAAGAGAAGAAAATTTGTTCCTTATTTTCCCCTTTAACTAAAAAATAAAACAGGAAATTATACAGCCAGTAGTTACCCGCCCACTGGGGTATGGCCTCTTATACTATTTATGCCCATGTAAAGCGTGTGTCCGGTCTCTTTTCTGGCTGCAGGATCTGGTTTCTGTTCTCCCTTCCATCAGAGGATTCTGATTTGTGAGTCTACCCCTAAATAAATAACCGTCTATTGTTCTCAATTCTGAGCTTGTGTGGGATTTCTTTTAAGTATCCTTCTTCAGGTTATGATCAATAATCTTGAAAGACTTATGTGCAAATAATTCACACATTACACAGTTGCATTTTATGGTGTGTGAATTATGCTCAAAATAGCTGCAAGTTCTTGGTGTGCACAGAACCACACACCCATGCCCAGGATCTAAGAACACTTTCATCACCTCAAACCTCACATGCATTAGCGTGTAGCCGCCACTTCACGCCACTTCTGCTCTGTGACCAATTCTAGATATTTCACATTAACTGAATAATACAAAATGTTCTCTTTCATGAATGGCTTCTTTAAATTATTCTTTAAGCAATTTCTTTGATCTACTACACTTCAACACTAATTCAGCTTTAACTCTGCTTCAGAATTTGCTGCTAAATTATTAAAGAGGTTGATTGATAAATTGGGCAAATTGCAGTGTTTGGGCTGTGAAGTGGGACACTGCAGCTCTGTAAGGTAGCATTCCAAGTGTGATTACTTGAATGTTTGAAGGCCCTTGATGTGAGAAAGTGAGAAGCATGGCCATATGGCTGCAGTCTTTGTCTCATGGTAATATGCTCTAGTTTTGAGTTGCTATTTTCTATTTTCCCAGACTTAACTCCACTCCAGACTTTTTTAGGCTACTTTTTCCCAACTATCTGATTTTTTTCTAGTCCTGGTAACAGTTCTAACCACTCTTTTAGCAATCCCTTAGATTTAAATTAAAGGAGTTTCTGGCATATATTAATAAAATAATAAGAAAGAATAGCACTTTCTGTTATTCCGAATTCAATGTCTGTTTTAATAAATGTTATCTTCTTAATGGAAAAATCCTTTTCAGAGTTCACTACATGGACGCATGCATTCTCAAGTTTTCACAAACATTTAGATTTACATGCTCACCATCAACAGGCAGTTTCTCTGTCAAATCTTCTCTCTCCATTTCTGTGAGTTTCATGCCCATATGTTGCAAAATCCTATCAATGCTAGCAACATCCACAATCCCATCTTTGGAAAAAGAGAGGAATATAAATAAGATCGAATGACCACAAAATACAACACAAACTGTGTATTACTGTCATAGTGTGCCTGTCAGGCTCCAGCCCAATGCTGTGCGGTTGGTTGTACAAGGACTGCCAGTATGAATGTGGAGTTAAACCCTTTACTTTGGAGCTCTTCTAGGGTGTGGGAGCAGTTTGTATAGCTAAGTGTTGAAGGTAATGGTGTAAGTCCTATACCCCTTCCATAAATGAGAACACGAAAGTCCACAAATGCACAGGACTTTCCCCAGAGGTTAGCTAAGAATTTAGAAGAAGAATTCTTCTGACTTTTTTGTTAAATTAAAAGTATTAAAGGTTTGCAAAATCTTCATGAAAATATGATTGACATCTATGGAATCCAACCAGCTTTAGGAACAAACAGTCACCGACAAAGCAGGGAGACGATCCTCATTATTTTCTCACCCCCTTTCCTAGGAGGAATCTACTGTCTTCAGTGTGCTCAAATTCTTAGGGATATTTCACATGTATGTGGGAGCTGGTT